CCCACCCCAGGGTTGTGGATGTTTCCTCCACCCAGAACCCCTTTTCTAAAACCCCAGTGTGTCCACCTCTCCCAAAGGCACCCCTGAACCTGTCGACCACTTTCCAGCACACTGCTTTGCTTTTTTCATAACATTTATTTCTATCTCTAACGGTCTTATTCACTGTCTCTCTTTGGTACCTTACTGTATCTCCACTGAAGCCAGGACTAATGCTTTCGTATTCCTCACTTGGTCCCCAGACCCTGAAACAGTGCCCAGACCGTAACACAGCACTACACATTCCTTGAAATGCACTCATGACCGATGTTTGGACGAGTCCCACGCACTCTTTTTCCATACAAAGTTCCGATTCTTTTTGGCTGTTCCATGGGAATGAAATCTTGAAGCCACTTACTATGGAACCCAGGACAGGACCACAACGGACATTTAATAACAAGGAACACTCATCAACAGACACGGAGATGCTATCCAGGGAGAAAGGACATCTGCAAATAATATGCCAATACCTTGTACCCACAGAGTCAGAAATTACCAAGAATGGCAGGCTGATCCTTATTCGTGTAAATACAACTGTGGTGCTAAGCACAAATATTAAGTTAAGGGTATTTCATACATCAGAAAGCTCACTGAGACCACTTGTCATATTTTCCTTCTATTATTTTAGGCTAATATTGCTCTGGTCCAAACCCAGCACGGGAAGAAATTCATAAGATCCTTGATCTCTAAAACAATGACTAGAACAAATGATTTTGGGGAGCCTGGGGACCTAGGCAATTTTTCTTTCTTCCTACAGAGCTGTCTCAAAGGCAAGATACACAAAATCCTCCCAAGCCTGACCACATCATCCCTGTTCCTGATTAGCCCAGCCTTACAACAGGAGGCTAATGAATAAATAACCATGGCAATCCTGTATAATGCATGAAGGTTGCTTTCCAATGGTCATTTCAATTAGACCTTTTTCAATTAGCAGTCACATGTCAATCTACTAAAGACGTATACGAATTTATTCATCATTAGCAGGAAATGGAAAACGGGTAGCTTTTTTAAAAAAGGGATAAACACCCTAGACCCAATACCAACCCCCCATATTTTTCTCCCAAATGTGTGCTTCTGTTGACTTTCCTTTTTTCACTGAAATGCATCACTGTCTCCTCTAACACTCACCGAAATGACCCTGGGCTAGTGAGACATTCAGAGGAGCCTCTTGCCTTGAACCCCCACCCCCTATCCAACTATGACACTGCCCCCTGCCGGGCTTTCCGTGAAGACCCCCACGGCTGCTCCTATGGGAAACTTCTCTGCTTCTCACCTCCTGCAGGGTGCGGGGTGCTCCTTGCTGGATCACATGCGGGCTCACAGCTGCTCTCTGACCTTTGCTCTTTTGGTCTTTCCCTGCTTGCTCCCTCTCATCCATTTCTTCTGAGCTCCAGAAGCCACCAAGTTGAAAACTTTGGGGTCCTGGCACAGGCTCTCCTCCTGCCCTCCTCCTTGTGGCCTCCTACTTATTCTCCAAGGTCTGACGCAAGCTCCTTGCCTGCCTTGGAGGTACTCCGGAGGATCCCTCTCATTGCCCCGGGACAGCTGACCACATCCAAGTCTTGGCACGGCTCACGGTTTTATAGCTTGTTCGTAAGAGTGCTTCCTTCTGGGAACTTCCAGCCCTCCGTTTTATTCATCTCTGCATCCCCAGAGACCAGCACTTAAATAAATGGTTATAAAAAGATAAAGCCTTGCTGTGCACCGGGCTCTCTTACTAGACCACGTGTCTCCTGAGGGACGGCAGAGGACCCCACCCCGCTTTCCAAGCTCTCCAAGTTATGACGATGCCCGGCGCGTAGGCTGCTCAGTGTACGTGCGTGCAACTATTTTGAATGGGATTGGCCAAAAAGAAAAAAGCTCTCTGGCTCACAGTACCGAAAAACCTGTACGAGCTGATTTCTAATTAGTTCATTTTTTAAAAAGTTGAAATCTAAAATTTCTCCATGAGAGTATAAAACACCACAGGCATTAATTTGCAAGGATCCATCCTCTGAAACTCCCGGCTTTTAAGGCCAACCCAACTAATTGAGGCACCTTGGGGATAATAAAGCATTCCAAACGTACTTTCTGCTTTGAATCTCCGGGCAGAGAAGATATTGATCCTCTCTGGCAGAAAGGACTTCTTGGAGAAATTTCACCAGCACCTGTATCTGGAGGGAAAAGAACCGCACATTCCTGAACAGAACCGCAGTGCAGAGAGTAACAGCAAGGGCTGAGGCCCTCCCCGGGCAGCCTGGAAGGGGCGTGGCAAGAGGAAGGAGGGCAAATACAATGAACCTTTCATGCCGGGCTCAGGATTATCCAAATTCTACACCCTCTCTCCGTGCTTTGCCACAGATGAGCTACAGTGCGTGCAAAGAACTAGAATAAAACTCCTCTGCCCATAGCTGCAGCAACCCCCAGTGCCTAGAGAACTGCACTGACTTAGGTTGGGCTCAATCCAAACTAGCAAGTACGCTCGCCTGAGGAATCACAGGAACCTGGCTTCTTCCCCAGATCTCCCAGAACCGTTGATCCACAAGGAAATTGAATGAGCTATGACGTCCACGCTACAAAGGTGATTACCTCCCCTGCCACTGCTTAGAATTTCCCCACATTTCTCTACCAGCCATTTCAAGTTCCATCATTTGAGCTGAGAGGAGAAAGCACATCAAGTATTCTAAAGGACCTTGATATGCTCGCATTTTGGTAAAATAAAACTAGGTTACCCACTGAACATGCTACATCTTTCCTTTCCTGAATTTTTAAGAAGTTCTTTGAACCTCTAACAGAAATAATAAATCTGAATTACCAGGAGACACATGTAAAATGGTATGACCACTTTGGAAGACAGCTTGACATGACAGCTTCTTACAAAGTTAAACATACTTTTACACCGTGGTTCAGCAAATCCATGCCTTGGTAGTTACCCAAATGAGTTGAGAATTTATGTCCATATAGAAACCTGCATGTGAACGTTTATAGCAGCTTTAGTCACCACTGCCCAAACTTGGGAGAAACCAAGATGGTCCTTTAGAAGGTGAATGGATAAACTGCGGTACATCCAGACAGCAGGATATTATTTGGCACTGAAAAGAGATGAGCCATCAAGCCACAAAAAGACCTGTGGAACCCTTATGCTCCCATTACTAAGTGAGGAAGTTGACTTGATAATGCTGCAGACTATACAATTCCAGCTAAATGACATCCTGGAAAAGGCAAGACTATGAAGACAATAAAAAGACGATTGTTTGCCAGAGCTTAGGAAGGAGGGAAGGATGAATAGAACACAGAGGTTTTAAGGCCGAAACTACCCTGGTATGTTATTACAGTGATGGGCACGAGTCTTTATAAATGTGTCCAAACTCACAGAATGTACAACACCCAGAGGAAAGCCTGAGGCAAACTGAGGGCTCCGGAGGTCACAAGGCGGCCATGTAGGTTTGTGAGCTGTAACATAATGGACCACGCCGGTAGGGACGCTGGCAGTGGGGGCGCCGTGTATGTGTGGAGAAAGGGGTTATTTGGGAACCTCTGCGCCTTGCTCTCAACTCTGCTGTGAACCCCAAAACTTCTCTAAAAATAAAGTCAGCAGAAATTAAAAACAAAGTCCCTGAAGACTAGGTGGCCATTTTAAGGATTTCGGTTGTCTTATGAGGTACGTACATCTACCTCTGAAAAATAAAAAGCTTTAAGAGAGAGAAGGAGAAGCGGGCAGAAATAATGGTGAGAGGGTTTCCCGTATCCCACAAAGACCAGTCAAGTTCTAAAAGATTCACGGTAACAAAAACACAGACAAATCACACACCCTGCTTTTATACCCCAGAAACCGTGAGAATCAGAGGACCACAAAGTTCCTCTAATACCTTTCTGTTGTGAAGGCCTAACAAACCAGAACACAGTACACATATGGTGAATTCCACAAAAACAATAAAAAGAAAAAGAAACTTAAAACAAAGGAGTCCTCCTGTTTCCTTCTAAGGCTCCTCCTTTTGTCAGGTTTATTTTGTATCGCTGCCTGGAGCTAAAACAGGAAACTTGTATTAGGAGAAGAAAAACAATCAGCATGCCTGGCTCGTGACAGAGGGAGGATGGGAAATACTCTGTTTATTTAACCACATCTATAATTGATCGCATTTCAACTGCTATTGCAGGAAAATAAAGAGGAGGGTTATCCTCCATGAAGAGAACTGCAGTCACAGTGTGTGAAGAAAAGGAGGAGGAAATGGAGAATAAAGCATAAGGGAAAGACGGGGAGAGGAGCTGCATCAGCGAAGAAAATATGGTTTCCCAGAAGTTCACGATACGGCTGGCAGAAAAAAACGCACACACTGTTCCACTCACCGCAGGCAGACAGTGATGATGCTAAGGGAGAGGCACAAAGAGCAAGGAGAAAGTGGGAGAGGAGGACAGCGAGGAGGGGAGACCAGGCCTCAGAGAAGGAGCAGGATTCAGCAGGTCGTGGAAGTTTAGACGACCACTCCTGCCGCCGTTATGGCCCGAAGGTAAGAAAGAGTTGGGTCAGGCGGGTTTATTCGTTCATTCACTCATTCAGCAACTGTATGTCTAGCATCTATCGGTGGAAGCTGTGGTAGACAGAGGAAGGCAAGAGGTTAAGCAGAATACGACGGGCAGTGAGAAAACCACATACGGCTTTGAACGCCAGATTGCATTCATGACAGGCAGCGGAGAGCCGAGCGGGTGGCTGGCAGCTGCAGGCAGGTTCCTCGCTCTCCGCTCCTCGCTCCTCCTGGTCTCCGTCCTATACAGACGCTGGTGAACCAAAACCTGTGCACCAGACTCCTCGAAGGAGGACACTGAAGGAAAATTAGGTGCTGTGATCTAGACACCTTTGCGTGAGATTTGTGAGCTAGAAATGAGAGAGAATATTCCTGACCCCTGTGATCTGTTTTCCACCGCGCAAAGTGAGGTCATAAAGGTGAGACCTTTCCTACAGCATCAGTCGAGGGTCTGTCCTTTTTCTGAGTGAAGAAAGGCAGGGGTGGGACAGTAGTGTCACTGGCTTCCCAATGCATGAGATCTTCAACTCCACACCCAGCGGAGACCCAGAGGCAGACCCAGGTGAATCATTCCTCCACATGGTCCCCTAATTTTAGCCTTGCCGACCCTCCACATCGCCAAGTGGCTTTCTACCTGCGCTGAAATCCGACTGATACAGCCAATAAGAATTTTAAAACAGAATCAATCCGGTACGTGCTCTGGGAAGTGACCTTAGCAGCTGCTTAGGACAGCTGTCCCCAACCTTTCTGGCACCAAGGGTAGATTTCATGGAAGGCAATTTTTCCATGGACTGGAGGAATGGGGATAGTTTTGGGATGATTTAAGCACATTGCATTCATTGTGCACTTTATTTCTATTATCATCACATTATGATATATAATAAAATAATATAAAGCTGACTATAATACACGTGATCCATAAACCTTTGGAGTTTTAAGTGTTAACATATTACATTGAATCTTCACTTCCATCCAGAACTTTAATCTGGAGATTCAGTCGCCTCAAACACACTTTTAAGGTCAACATCGAAGTGATCTCAAGCCGCTGACCGTCTTCTACCATCAGGCAGTCGATTCGCCAGGCTTCTTCACAAATGCATCACACTCAAATCTACCCTTGGTGTCAGATCCATTCTTCCCCAGTCCAAGGGTCTCTTGTGCTTGGGAAATAATGTTCAAACTCTTGAAAGCTGAGATAGGTGATCATGCACCAGCCAGAAGAAAGAAGGGTCTGGCCCACTCTCTTTCAGAATCTCTGCTAATATTTGAAACGCGTCAAGAATCTCATTGTTCACGTCAACCCACAGTTCCAGTTTGGCTCTGAATGCAGCCACTGTATTTGAAGACTTGAATACAGTCATCGTGCTCAGTGAGCTGATGGATTAAGTTCGTTGTGAAGGCTGAATACGTCACACAAGTAAGTTTTATGACCCGTTCTGTGTCACTGAAATGTGCTGCCATGGTGACTGTCTTCATAAAGGAAATTTCTAGATTGGCTCTCATAACTCGGAAACTGGCCAGGGATCTATTTTGGAAAGCCTCTCACTCCTGTGTATGAGAGAAGACCTGTGTGCTCCATCTCCTCACGGAGCTGCACAGACAGACCTGAGTTAGTGGTATACACTTTCTTATGACCGATAACTTTATTCGTATTCTACAAAACATTGCTAAGTTCAGCTGACACCTGTCAGCTGGCCAGCATCTCTCTGTGCACGGCACAGTGCATCAACTCATATGCATAAGCGACCACTTGGATCCGAGTTGTGAAACCAGAAAGCAGTCCAGTCACAGCACCTGCTGTGTCTGTATGTGTGTGTGCGCATGTGTGTGTGTAACCAAAAATGACCAAGTCAATTTTTTGGATTTGTAATCATTCAAAAACTCAAATAGTTCTGCAGCTGTGGTGAGGACCTGTCAGACTGGAAGGAAAAGAAGCAGAGAAACACGGTGACATGGAAGTCAGAGAAACAGACTCCCAAAATGACCGTAGGCTAGGAAGTGACAAGAGGAATCTGAGGTGGCCTTCAACAGAGAAGAGTAAGGAAGGGGAAAAGAAGCTACAGCCTTTGGAGTAGACACAGAAAGAATAAATACTTTCAACGGACCATATTCAAAAAGCTTTGCTGTCACTGGAAGGCCCCAGAGGAGATGACTGAGGGGGAACAAAGTCAAGCTGAATCTCTTTAACATAAACAGTGGAGATGTGTAAGATGTTGATGAGAAAAGAGACAAGGAGAGCAAAACGTACAAACCAGGGAGGTAGGAAGTAAAGGCAGTAAGGAAAATTCCAAGAATTCAGAAGAATGAACGAGTCAGCCTTTGAGCAACAGGGGGAGATAGGCTAAGGGTATAACCGCACCGTGGTCCCCAGCGTGATGTGTGCTTACATTTAACCGAGTGATGAAGCGCTTCAGATCCATCTGGTTTCCCCATAACCCTAACAGGTTGTACGCGTTTGCCTGTGGTCGGCAGAGAGATGATTTATTTCCTCATGATTGGAGTTACATCGACCCATTCTGTAGCTGATTATCTCCCGCTGATAACATGCAGTTGAATTTATCTTTCATTAACCAAAAGAAAGTGATCACAAATTAATTACCATTCATTAAACACTGTCGTTTTTAAAAAGCCTTTCAAAACGTGCATCCATGGTAGGGGATAATGAAAGAGGCCCTGCGTATTGAAATAATTATTAACTGTCATTAGAATTAACACAGTGCGATAAGACATTATTTAACTATCTAAAAAATGCTGTGACCAAAAACACACCTAAAAAGAACAAAATCTAGCAGTACATAGATTAATTAAATGCAGCCTAGCAGCAAAACAAAGGTGCCTGATTATGGACTTCAATCAGACCAGAGAGCACAACCAGAGTCCAAGGTGTGAAGGCCACCTGTATAGTCAGGTGGGTGGACAAATGGACTCGGACAGCTGAGTGTCACAGCATCCATGGGAGAGGGGCCCGTGCATCCCCGCAGGCTGTAAGAAAACCCTACCTGGAGAGGTGCAGCTCCTGCCCCCAAGAGCTGCCAAAAAAGCTCTGCCAAGGACAGGAGACTTCCTACTTCCTTTGTGGGTAAATATCTGTTAAGCCAGGGAGAGCTCAGAAATAAACGGAAATAATGTTATAAATCAAGTCTGTCTTATCAATATTTTAACATGTGATAGTTAAAGTGCTTATAACGTTTAGGAGAGTTTGGAATGTTAGGTTAGCTGATGGATGAGCTTGTGGTCTTGTAATTGTAGCACTGGGTAGCTAAGATGTGATTTCAAATTAGATGGTATGGCAGAATTTTGTGAAGTGTGTTACAATATTGAAAGGTTTGGGAGAACACAAATTTCACTGCATGCATACTTTTAATTTACTAGACTTACAAGAATTGGGAAGACTTTGTTTACTAGGAAGACAAAGGTAGTCATAAAAACAGAACATTAAAATTATTAGTGCATTAACACATTTAGAGAAATTTAACTAATTGAAGCCAGATAGTAACCAACCACAACTCCTTGTGATTGTTAACATTTGTAAATTGAAAATTGAACAATAAATTTCACGAATGCAAAGCTTCAGGAAAAACTATGTTTTTAAAATTTTTAATTAAAAAAAAAATCTTAATTTGGGGGGGTACCAGGGATCAAACTCGGGTCCTTGTGCTTGCAAGGCGGGCAGTTGAACCGCTGAGCTAAATCCCCGGCCCCTAAAAAGTCTTAACTTTAAAGAGCTGGATGTGAGGGTTCACATGAGACGGTTTGATTCCCAGTGCAGTGACGCTCAAGTGGACTCCCAGGCTGGAGAGCTGCCTGGGCTGGGAGTGCACCGACCGCAGTGATGGGCGGGGCCTCTTCCTGAATCGAGATATTTACCAGCTCACGGCTAAGCAGACTAATAGGAGGGGTCTAGATGGAGGAAGCTGGTCACGGGTGTGCTTTGAAGGAGATACTGTGTCTCCTGGCCCCTTCTTTTTGCTGGCTCTTTGTGATACTCCGCTTCCTGGCTGCCTATGAGGTGAGCAGCCTCCCACGGCTGTGCCCTTCTTCTGCCATGACGTTTCTGCACCGCCACAGCTTAACGCAAAGGAGTCGGCTGACTGTGGACCCAAGCCTCTGAAACCATGAACCAAAAATGAGTCTTCCCTCCCATAGGTATTATGTCAGGTATTTGCTCAAGGGAAACATGACTAACACCCTGGCAAATACAGTTTTGTGAGGGCACAAAAATCCCATCGAGGATACATAAAACTTCACATTGCGTAGATTACTGACACAGAGACAAATACCCACAACACACTCAGCAAGCATCTGCTACATCCGTGTGTATGTCGTGCATATGTATGAGTGAGACCCACGGTGCAGAAAGGCAGTGTGATTCAGGGAAGTACCTCAAGGAGGAAAGGCCAGGTGCTTTGGGAGTTTGGTGCACCCTGCCTAGATCTGAGGGGTAGAGTAAGTCCCCTTGGAGATCAGAACCAAGGCCATGCTAATGGTCTCAGTCACAACCAAACAGGAGATCAGCTATGGAGAAAGAGGAAGAAGAAGTGACTTCAATGCTTGACTGTAGAAGTTTGAAAGAGCTGCTGTGATAGAATCAGTAAGAATAAGAAAGATGGCCAGCAAGCAAGATTGCATGGCATGGATCTGTCGATTTTCTCCACCTACACAGGGAAGTTCCTTCTGCAGGCAGCAAGCTCACTGTTATGACAGCAGCAGCACTGGCCTGCGTGCCTGCTGCAGACAGGGAAAATCCACAAGCAGCCTAGAGGAAACTGGAGCCAATGCGCTATAGAGGGGCATTTCAGAATGGAGATAAAGGGGTTCCTGGCTATCGGAATAGTAAATAAACCTGGGGCACATTAGAGACCTTGGAGTCTGGTGTTCTCAATCCCGGCTACACGTTCAAGTCCTCTAGCCCCAGCCCTAACCAACTACTCTACTGGACTCTGGGGACTAGAGACCCAGGAGGTAACTCTATGCACATTTTTGTTACAGTGGATTTGGGGGTGGTTTTTAGTAGTAACAATAGTAACACATGTTCACCGTTAAAACAACAAATATCAAACAACACAAGTATATATAATAAAAAAAGTCTCCCTTTTTCATCTTCCCTAATCCCAAAAGTATATGTTGGGCAACATGTATGAGTTAATGAAAGGGAGGGAGGGAAGAAGGGGAGAGAGGGAGAGAGGGAGGGAGGGAAAGACAGAGAGAGACAGAGAGACAGTGTGTGTGTCTGTGTGTTTTCAAGGCTCTCGGCCTAAAGTATGAGTACATATGTTAAAAAAAGAATAGCACAATGTTAATGGTAGATTCTGGTTGGTAGGTGTTCACTGCAAAAATCTTCCAAAAATGTTGTGCTTTAAAATTTTACCAAAAAATGTTGCAAAAGCAAAAGCTCTTCAAATGATTAGGATGCTTGGCCCAGGCTGGCGAGTTGAAGCCCACAGGGCAAGTGTACAAACGAGGGAACCTCAGGCCTCACGGGTAACCTGGTTTGCCCCAAATCACGGGGCGGAGGCCAGGGCTCCGGTAAAGGTGGGTCCTGCGCCCGTCCTCCATCTGGTGTCCTGTCCTGCACCCCAAGCAGCCGTCAGGGAGAGAAGGCCGCAGAAGAGATCAGCAAAGGAAGCTCATGGGAGCGGCCCGCTCAGGTCTTGAGCGGGATCCCTGTGTTCTGAATCTCTGCGGGAGCGAGAGGTGACACCAGGTGTACCAGAACCGGCCTGCTATAATCTTTAATTCTGGTGTGTGTCGATTTCATTGCCCTGACCTGCTTGCTGATTCATACTGCCCTCAAGCACTTAAGACTCCAGAGGAAATCCAAGCTCTCGTTTGCCAGAGGACTGGTTTAAGTCCACTGAAACTCCTTTCTGTGACACAAAGGAAAATAAACAAAATGTTTAAAAACTGTGAGCATTGCCCTCCAAAGTGAGGGAAGAGTATCAGTCCCTGGGAGTGGGAGTCCCTGGGGCCTCACAGTGCAAAACTCCTGAGCAGAGCTGCACAGGAAGACAGCAAATCACGATCTCCAGTGTGAATAAGAACTTACTGATCGATATTTATGGATGGCAAAATGTATTTTGTAGGAGGGAATAGGAAGATAGGGCTCAAATTCATAAATCAGAATCTCACGCAATAATATTACAAGAGTACTATGGATTGCCAAATTTTATATACAAGAGGCAATTTTTTTCCTTTAATCACACAAAGCACAGAAAAAGACTTCTGCCTGCTACTAGGCAGACTGAATGTTAGGGCTGTGTCTCCCATCCAAGAGACAATTCCGAAAGAGAATTCTGAACTTCTCATGCATTTTTGCTCTTCCTAGCAAACAGTGTAAAAAAATAAATAGAGGCATAGCAATCAGGAGACCTGGGTTCCAGTCCTTGCTCTGTCACTAAGTTGCTTTTATCTTCCTTTTTGCAAAAATGAGGACAGAGCTGTCTTTAGGGTGCTTATACAGTAGCTGTGAAACTGGACTGAATACCTTTCTGGCCCCACTAAGGGACATTCATAACCGGTGTCCCCAAAGAGTCACCGTAAGGCCCAGTTCCTGAACACTTCTCTCCTATCCTAACGCTCTTGTTCATCTGCCTCTCAAGCTCAGCCTGGCCAAGGAAAACACTCCCAAGGGAAAACAAAAGGTCAGGAATTCTTTTAAACAATTATTCACATTTTAAAAATTAGTATTCATAAAAGAAATAAAAGCAAAAAGGTTAAGTGACAAGTGGGTAGGCCCTCAAGGTGAAGAGGACTTAAAAAAATCTCGTTCATCCTTACCCTTCAAAGCTATCATTTAATGACAAATTCAAGTAGCCTTTTGCATTAAAAGTTACTCTTGGGCAAATAAAGTTCTTAAAAGGCATCTCAACAGATTCTAGCAATTGTACTAGTGATCTTACCCTCTTCATCCCCTCAGTGAAAGATCTAGAAAGAAAAATGAACTGAAGTATCAAGCCCTCCTATTCCCAGGCAGTCAGGGCCCTGGGTCTCTTCCGGAGCCAACGCCCCGTGATTACGAACTCAACCATCTCTACCGTTAACTTCTCAGAGCTCTGGGGGAAGCAGGAGAGCCGTGACGGTCTCTACCCTGGGCAGACAGGGACATTCGGGGCATCCAGGGCCCATGGAGATGCCCAGAGCAGTCGTCAGACAGGCCGGCCTGGAGTCCTGACCAGGAAAGCTAGACGTTCACTTGACGCTTGTGTTTGTTCCTGCACGAGGACAGCAATGCTGCTACCTTACGGTAGGGTTTCCGAGGACTGAAGGAACTAACTGGTGCATAGTGGGAGAACAGTGCCCGACATACGGTAAGCATTCACTACGAGCTAACAGCTATTATCACTCAAGTTTTCCCTCCTGCGCTCCCTACGCTCACCCTCTGGTAAGAAAAGTTGATGGTTATGGCACAGATTGCAAATTTTTAAAAA